CTTGCATTTTAATATCGCCATGCGAGGATTTAATCTCATAAGCAGCGCCTGTTGCAAAATGGTGGCTGACGCTTTCGGATACGTAATATGTTGCTCTGCAGATGGCATTTTACCAAATTTATTGCTGCGGAGGCGGCCAAATGTCTCTGCCTTTTTATGACCTTATTTGTTTTCTGGTTACGGAATTAATTTGAAATGGTACCCAGATATCGAATGGTGTGATCGTAAAACGGAAAATTGTTACCGACATCGGTATTAACGTGTACAGCGTGTTACGTCATAAAATGGACCTCGACAAGGCAAAGAGAAAGTAATCTAAATGTGAATTTTTATTGCTCGACGGTTGTTATTTATAACAACTGTACTAATCATGGCCGCAATTCGCAGGAATCTTTTATTAACTTGTTCTACAATATTTATTTGCCTCCAAATTAAAACAACATATTACAAAACTCATATATTGCAATACTTCTAAATACATTGAACACACGAAAATTTAGTTTAAAATATTCAAGAGATAAATAACTTCGTGATTAAAGATATACACATCATTCCAATATATACATCTTCTACCCTATTCGACAGCTTTTCAACATTTATAAATTTTATTTAAATACCCAGTATAATTCTCGACTTTAAAGTTATGAGAAGCCCATAAAAACAACATTATTCTTAATTAGCAGATTGTAAATTACTACTATTTTATATTACAGGCGTGTGCAATATTCGAGTTCAAAACTAAATACACTAAATTATGTATTAAAAAGGCATTTTCAATCACACAAACATTAAATTAATTTTTTTTATTTCATCAACACTTTAGCCTGTCTATTTTACCTAGTTTATGTTTTACTCAAACGCGTTTCGGCTTTATTGTCATCATCAGTGAGGGACTCTCGCTAGGAGCCCAACAAACACCACGAACGTCAAATTAATTTTTATTACACAAATTGTTAATAGCTCTTCTTATTCCAATTACCTCATTTTATTATAGCTTTTACCGTTAATTTAAACATTTTCCCATAAAACTAACCTTTTTTAATTTAAAATTAACCCTTGTTCGCGCCAAATGAACCTTTTTTAAGATCAAATTAACCCTTTTTAACTTCAAATTAACTTGTTTTTATTTTCAAATTAACCCTTGAAAGTTTAAATTAACCATTTTCCAAATTAAAACTTTTAATGGCCCTTTTAAATTTGTAATTTACCCTTTGTTATTTCAAAGTAACTATTTTTAACTTCAAATCATATCTTTTTAATTTTAAATAACCCTTTTTGCATCAAATTAACCATTTTTAACTTCAAAACATATCTTTTAAATTGTAAATAACCTTTTGTAAATAATCTTTTTGAATTTCAAATTAACACTTTTATAATTCAAATTATCTCTTTTTAGTTGACCCTTTTTAAGTAACTTTTTCTTTAAAACATCAACAACATAGATGATTGTGTGAAATTTAAGGACGTAAAATTGTCGATTTAAAAACATAAAACATTTATAGGTTAACTTTGACAAATATCAGGTTTTCTAACGAAATTGACGCATTTTAATATACAAAACTGAATTTTGCCTACTTTTGGTAGACCCATGGACTTAACTTTCGTTTAATTGTTTTATTTATTTTTGATATATTCAAGTTGGTTTTTATGTTGTGTTATTGGCTCATTTTGGCCATGTGATAAACTTGACTTATAAAACACCACGAATTTACTTATTTTTGGTACACAAAACGCCATGAATTTCGCCTTTTTTTTTTTAATCAAGAGCTTAACTATCGTTTATATGTTTTATTAATATTTGCTAAATTCAAGATGATTTTTATGCTCAGTTGGGCCATGTGTAGCGAAGGTTAGTCAAATGTTATGTTTTATAATAAACCTGACTCATAAAACACTTCGGATTTTGACTACTTTTGGTAGACCCAAGGGCTTCACTTTCATTTATATGTTTTATTAACATTTGGTAAATTCCAGTTGAATTTTATGCTGTAGTATTGGCTCGGATGGGCCTTATGTAGTATTAACAGCTCTTCTTATTCCGTGATATATACTTTTACCGTTAATTTAAACAGCTTTCCCGTCAAACTAACCTTTTTTAATTTAAATTGAACCCTTTTTCGCACCAAATTAACCTTTTTTTAACATCAAATTAAACCTTTTTAACTAGTTTACCCTTTTTAATTAACTTTTTCTTTAAAATATCAAAAACCTAGATGTTGGTACGAAATGAAAGCACGTAAAATTGTCGATTTAAAAAAATAAAAAAGTAAATAAAACAACTCGGCTCTTAGAAAACCATATGACAATTAATTACAATTAAAATTAAAATTTATGAAAAATTAAGTTAAAAAACAATTAATTCTTTTAATTTTAACTTTTTTTAAATATAAAATTACTAGGCTTTTAAAAATCAAATTTCTCACATTAATCAAAATAAAAGAAGAATCGTTTATATTTATATAATTTTTAATTTTACTTAATTTTCACAGATTTTTCTAGGAACCAATTATTTTGTAATAAATAAATTTCGTAAATTTGTAGGAATTTAACTTTATATGCTTGTATTTCATACCATAATATAATTTTTAATGCTTTAAAAGAAGGAGTAATTTGAAGTTAAAAAGTGTTAATTTAAACTTAAAAAGAGTTCATTTGAAATTAAAAATGGCTAATGTGAATGTTAAATAAGTTTAAGTTGAAATTAAAACGTTTTAATTTAGTGCAGAAAAGAGTTAATTTGAAAGTAAAAAGGGTTAATTTGATCGGAAAATCTATACGTACTACTGGAGACTTTTGAAGATCTCGATGTCGACGAATAACAAAAAAAATCTATTTTTTAAAGGATGAAAGGTTCAGACATTACTTATACGAGTATACAGTAAAGCAAAAACTCATCTCTGAAGATGGCGAGAATAGGCAAACCTAAAATGATCGAAAACGAGCGAGCTATTTTATAAAATAGTTCAAAAAATGCGACATTATTCTGTTTTTTGATATTTAAAAAAAAAGGTTAATCTGAAATTAAAAATGGTTAATTTGAAATTAAAAAGGATTAATTTCGAATTAAAAAGGGTTAATTTCAAATTAAAAAGGGTTAATTGGAAATTAAAAGGGGTTAATTTGAAATTGAAATGGGTTAATTTCAAATTAAAAAGGGTTAATTTGACCCGAAAAAATAAAAACTAACTTGTGACTTTTGAAGGACGGATCTCGATGAATAAAAAAATATTATTTTTGAAAGGATGAAAGGTTCAGATACTATACTTATATGAGTTACAAAGCAAAAACTCATCACTGAAGATGGCGAGAATAGGCAAAAATAGAAAGCGAGAAAGCTATTTTATAAAATAGTTCAAAAAATGAACAAATCCTACCATCTCCTAGATGTTTTATAGAAAGGGTTAATTTGAAATTAAAAAGTGTTAATTTGACGGAAAAAATAAATACTAACCGGAGGCTTTTGAGAGATGAAGTTGGATGAATAACAAGACAATCTATTTTTGAAAGGATGGACGGTTCAGACACTATAAAGTAGTATAAGTTAAAGTAAAACAAACCCTCATCATTGAAGATGGCGAGAATTGGCAGAGCAAAAATGATCGGACACTAGCGAGTTATATTACAAAGTAGCATAAAAAATGGAAAAAATGTTGTGTTGAATTGTTTTTAAGTACAATTCTACATATAGAACAAAGTTTAGACGTTATGTCTAGGTTGATGTACATGGTTCATTTTATAATCAGACCAAACGACGCTGACGAATCAGTGGCAGGCGCGTCTGACACGCCCGCAATTGGGAGAATGTGTTTCCCATAATCTCCAAGGTCCTCGTTCTCGAGCCAATCAAGATAAATAAAATGTAACAACAAACTCAAATTTATACACACGCGCACTCAAGAAAACGTTGTGGTCTTCGGTTTGACCGGTGACCTCTTCTAATTGAGAGCCCGATTTAATGAAAGGAAAAAGATGACTCAGGTACCTTTGTTCCTTCTCCCCCGACCATCGAGGCCCTTATAGGCAGTGATTAGGACGATAGCTCCTTTGTTGGGCTAAGCATGCAACCCCAATTTTTTTTCTCTCAATTTTTTGTCTACGAACCCCCTTATACCTGTCGGTAACTCCACGTTACACCTTTTCACTCTCACTATCTCTCCCTCCTCCGTCGACTATTATTGTTCATATTTCTTCTAACGTCTCTCATTTCGCCCGGAAATACCTGTTAAACTATGACCGCGACTGGCAAGAACGAAAGTCTATAATCAAAAGTGTGAGCGTTATTAAGGGATTTTTGAGAAACCACTTTTCGGGGAAAAGACACCTTGGAAGATTTAATCGCGAAGCAAACACGTTCGCAATGATAGCACATGTACATAAGCCATTAGACGAACGAACCCCAGCATAAAATAAAACTCCTCAAATAAAAAAGTCTCCGTAATCTGTTATGTCGAAACAGACAGATCAAAAAAAGTTATAAATTAAACTTTGTTTACTTGGTCGTACTCTACAACACCAATATGTACCTGAATTTTGTCTTTAGAGAAAAGAAGTTACTTTCCATGGGAAGGATACTTATCAGGACGTAAATAGGCTTAAAAAATGTTCAATAATTCAAAAAATGCTTAGGGAACTTGCGTGATTTTAAAAAACTTACGCGCAATGATTTCAAAATGTTTCTAGACTATGACAAATTTCATCGCTCCCTGAGCATTTTTCATGCGGCCTGGTTTATTGCCTGGAGCTTCGAGGTGAATTATGTTTCGTCCTTAAATTTTTCAAACGATCATATCTAATTTGTACCGGCTCACAACGTACACAGACCAGGATGTGATTTATATACAGTAATGAACCGGCCATAAGACAAGAAGCTTTTATAACTTGTTTCTAATCGGAACAACGCCGGATTTATTGTCAAGGGCTATGAAACGTTTCTTCACCGTAACCTTTGAAGTTTTTATTTAATAACACCGGGAAATCGAGGAAATTATCGTGACACTGACCTTAGTCCGAGAAGAGGCGACATATCTTCGACAAGTTCTGACAAGACTAGCACTGTTGCCCCGGGAGCTCCGTGGTACGTCGGAGTGGTACCATCTTCGATTTCAGTCGTAAAGGTCTGGTTGCCTTCCATGATTATTTCGTCCGAATCTTGTTGTACGTAGATTATCTTTTGCGGGTGTTCCGGCTGGTGCTGTTCGTATTCTTTTTGAAATTCGATGACGCTCACAGGCGTCATTGTGGCCAGCATCACTGGAGAACTAGGAGAAGCCATTTGATCACGCGGCGGTGGACTGGCTGATCCTTCTTTCACCCTCTCAGGCGAATTTCTCTTCATTGGTTCGACTTGGTCACTCCGTTCCATCATGCTCCAAAACTTATGTCACATTTCTTCAGTCAGCTACCTGCCAACAAAAAGTTTTTAATAATAAAAAATTAGTAAACTAGTGTTTAGTTGAAGGTTCAAGTAATCGGCTAACACCGTTCCTTCTTAATAGCTAGTTTTATGTTTGCCTGGTATGTCCTATTCCAAACATATGCGATAAAATCGAGCTGAGATTCTTCGTAGGGCATTTGCATACCTATGGCCTTTAATCCCTTTCACGACATCCCTAGAAACGTTAAGTCTGTCGGCTATTTTCGTTTTATTATGTTTTTAACATAAATGATAACATAGCTTGGGATTTTAATCCTTTTAGGCGAAGAGGATTTTTCAACTGGTCATAGATCGTTCCCAGTGTCCTAGACGGTCAATTAGCTATTTAATTTCCAACTAATGCCACATGGCCTAGAACCCCGAGAAACGCTATATTTTAAACTTTAATATTTATTTCTTTTAAAAGGGATAACAGATATCTTTACATAGATTTTCAAAGATTCTCTGTCTAGTTTATTCACCCTTTACTCTGTATAATTAGCTTGGCTGTGCCATCTATAGCTAAGGTTCGTGAAATGTCATATTTTCTAGAAAAACTAACAAATGTTAAAATATAAAACACAATGAATTTTGCCGGTATTTGATAGATCAATGAACTTAATTTTCATTTAATTGTTTTATTTATTTTTGGTTGATTCCAGGTGATTTGGATGTTGTGCATTTGACTCAGTTATATATCTGTAGCCAAGGTTTGTAAATATCGTCTTTTAAAAAAATTAACTCATTTTAAAATATAAAGCACCATGAATTTTGCCTACTGTTGGTAGATCCATGGACTTTACTTTTATTAAATTACTTTATTTATTTTTGATATATTCCAGTTGATTTGTATGTGTTATTGGCTCATTTGGGCTATGTGATAAACTTGACTTATAAAACACCACGAATTTGCTTATTTTCTGTATCCAAAACGCCATGAATTTCGCCTTTTTTGGAAAATTCAAGGGCTTAACTATCATTTATACGTTTTATTAATATTTGGAAAATTTAAGTTGATTTTTATGCTGTACAATTGGCGATGTGTAGCCAAAGTTCGTCATATGTCATGTTTTCTAATAAACCTGACTCATAAAACATCATGGATTTTGACTAACTTTGGTAGATCCAAGGGCTTCACGTTCATTTATATATTTTATAAATATTTGGTAAATTACAGTTCAATTTATGCTGTACTATTGGCTCGGATGAGCCTTACTTATCCAAGTTTCGTCAAATAATATGTTTTCTAATATACTTGATTCATAAACACCACGAATTGTGAATACTTTTAGTAGTTACATTGGCTTAATTTTCATTTATATAGTTTATTAATATTTGGTAAATTCCAGTTGATTTTTATAAATATAATGAAATTAAAAGCATAAAAATAGCTATGCTCGTTTTGGACACATATTTGTAAATTCCAGTTGAATTGTCAACCATACCCACATGCAGACAACACAAGGCCCTGAAGATGATCTCAATAAAGATCGAAACGTTGGCACGATAAAGAAAATGTTTTTCTGAAACCGCATCTCACGATTTCTAAATGCATACCCACATAGTTATTCGCCAAGTTTAGCGCCAAGTCCAACATTAGACGTCCTCGTCTCTTCAAGAGATGTACGTACCATAGTTAAAAATAGGTCACCAAAAAAAACGACCAGGCGATGACAACTTCAGTAACTTGATATACAAGCTCTCTAAGAAAATTCGTTCTTAGACATGGCCCAAGCGGGGGTCCGACACCCAAAAATTTTCTTCAAATTAAAGCACCTACGTCCTTATCACTTTATCTTAAAATCTTACCTAACAGGTGATTACTTAAGATGTGCAAAGTAAGATGTGCCAACGATTTATGCTGAGTCTCTAAACAAGACCGGTCCGGCGTGTCACAACGTATCATTCTTGGCCCAATCCTATTTACTATTTATACGCGGGGATCCGCCCCATACAATCTACGGGGACGCTACCCAAAATCTCGTAACTCAAACCCTACCTAAACCATCTCCGATATCCGGGGGCTCTTTGAAAATTGGTGCAAACTGTGAAAAATGAAACTGAACGTTAAATAAACAACTCTGCCCAAGTCTATACGTTTACAACAAGAAACTGACATCTATATATATTAAATGCTTAAAATTATACGGGCAATTTGACGGTAGACTGACGTGAAATCCTCATACAAAACTCAAGGCGACAAGAAGAAAATTGAACAATTACGAAGACAACTAGGTCCAAAATGAGACATGACTGTAAAGGACATACCGCTCAGGATTAGTAAAAGTTTATGTGCCTGTTGCGTTTTCAAACCAAAATGAATCTGCAGGTGTAAAGTAAGCCAAATAATCCAAATAAAACAGACGGACATCCATTGCGAGCGTGTAACTCACGTGCGATCGTTGCAAAACAACCAAACATGTACAGAGCTTTAGAAATGAAGAATAACCACGCATAATCCTATTAGCATACGTTGGAGAAAAAAAAATGAAAATATACAATCTCCCTCACACCAGCGGAAATATTAAAAGGGTAAAAAAAACCGTGCACGACTAAAAAAGCACCAGAGGATGATTACGCAAGTTGAAAAGATTAAAGCTCAATTGATTTCGTAATTTCCACCATTCGGGAGTTCAAAAAGCTGTAGGATTAGATTTAAAACCTTCAAGAGAAACTGATTCGATTGTGAACACGTTTCTAAAGAAGATAAAATCTACACTAAAAAATGGGCCTGTATTATTATTATTTTAATTGATTTTATACTGTTGAAAGTTTTATTTATTTATTTTTTTTTTAATAGATGGTAATTAAGGTGTATAAAAGTCGGCTGATTATTATCCAATGGGCCGTTCAATATTAGGTGTCGAAGAGGCCAAGGATTCAATAGGCCGAAGTGAATAACAATGAATGACAAAGCAAGAATTGAAAATTAATGCGAAGCGTGTGTCCATAAGGCCGTTAAATTTCCTTTTAATTGTAATCGTCGGATGTGACATATTTTTTAAAAAGGGCCGTTCATTATGCATGCAGCGTCGGCCTGGCGAGATTGCTCGGAAGAAGCCCGGGGAAAAAGTGCCGACCCTCGTCGACGATCCACACGCGATGGTTAATGAATGATGGTTTAACCACCTGTCGTCTAGACAATATCGATTCAGATTTCCGAACGGCTGTCTGTTATTTCTTGGCAAAGGATATAAGATAAGACTGATAATTTAAAAAAAATAAACCGACGAAAAAGTATATATTGAAAACGCGGTCACGTTGCGGTTCGTTGCACTCACAAAACACATTCACCACTCACCAATGACAGTATAATTATCATAATTTCCCAATTAAATACTAATTACAGTGTCATAATTGCTAAACCAATTCGCATCTATTGACAATGTTTTTGAAATAAAATTAGTTTAAGTACAAACATTTAATCGTCTTTTCTGACTGTATTTTTTCTCCTCAGGGTGCCGGTGTTTTTGAAGAAAAAAATCCTATTTGTAATGCAGGGCCGCTGGATTCGAACCCGGGACCTTTACCTTACGCTTAAGCGCCATGTCAAAGCCTAAAAACGGCCACCGACGCCCCCTCTGACTGTATTTTATAGAAAAGACGAATTCCGTTTTATTTACGTGTGACACACTAAAAACCAAAATTGCGCCATGTACGCACTCAAAATGGACAAAATTCAATGGGGTGTTTTATTTTAAAATTCCATTTTGATAAAGAATTCATCAATGCACCGGGTTATCTGATATTTTATAGGTACAGCTTTTTTCCATCAAATTAACCCTTTTTAACTTTCAATTGACCTTTTTTTAATTTCAAATTAACCCTACTTAATTTTAAATTAACACTTTTTAACACCAAATTGATTTCTTTTTAATTTCATATCAACCCTTTTTAATTCAACATTAACACTTTTTAATTTCAAATTATTTCAGTTTAATTTAGAATTAACCTTTCTTTAAACTTATGGATGAAATGTAAGCAAGTAAAGTAAAATTCCTGATTTAAAAAAGAAATATAAAATAATTCAGTTTTCAAAAGACCATACGAAAATTAATTTCAATTAAAAGGAACCATTTTTAATTCCAAACTAAACCTTTCTTTAAAGAAATAGAAAAAAATATGAAATAGTAAAATAAAGAAGTAAAAGAGCTTAAAACGAAGTATATTTGCGTTTTTTGTTTAAATTATATAATAATTGAGCACTTAAAACCTATGAAAATTAATCACAATTAAAATTTAAAAATATATTCAATTAAATATAAACGTATTCTTCTTTTTTGTTAAAAATGGTATATAAAGTAATTACTTATTATTTTTTAAACAATTCGAACTAAAAGATGTCATTTGATTTTGTAGTTAATTTAATATAATTTTAAATTTTAATTGTGATAAATATGGTCTTCTAAGAGGTAAATTATTTTATATTTAATTATTTTGTTCGAATCGAGAATTTGTCTTTACTTATTTACTTTTCATACCATGTTGGTTTTTGTTATGTTTTAAAGAAGGGGTTAATTTTAAATTAAAATGAGATAATTAATGTTAAAAAGTGTTAATTGAAACAAAAAAGGGTTACTTAATTCGAAAATGGTTAAGTTCAAATTAAAAAGGGTTAAATTCTGATTTAAAAGGGTCAACGTGGCGGAAAAATTATTAGCACATTTATTTATTTATTTTTGAATTATACCAGCATTTGACATTACATGCTTATATCTCCTAAGTTTTTCCAATTAGTTTAAAATAGGGTTAATTTGAAATGTTAAAAAAAGTTAATTTGAAGCTAAAAATTATAATTTGATGGAAAAAAGTGTGTAAGTTCCTTAGTACCTGTTTGGATGTCGGGGGTTGTTTGATATATTTTAAAATAAGGGATGACGTGCCTGTCTCTATTGGGTCAATAGCACAGCTTAAAAAATGAAGTGGAATCATCTAAAAATGAATATTACAAATGTACTGCCATGGATGAACCGAAAATGTGTGATATCC